TAGCATTGAATCTAAAAATAAATAAAAATAATTTCTGCAATATTATTTACTTACATATTCCAATATTCACACATCTTTTTGTGTATCGAGGCCCAATAATCATGCGTGTGAGAGCGGGAAAAATGAAAAAAAAAATAATACAACCAAAAAGACAAAAGGTTACAGTGTGACTTGTGAAGTGAGTTCTTAGGATACTTCGAGATTCCTTACTGCTTGTCTGCCTCTAATTTAATGAAAATTTGGCTGCTTCGTTACATGGCTAAAATGCTCTACAATTTTATAAAATTTTATCTCACAAAAAAATATGTATAATTGTTTACCGATATACATACATATATATATATATATATATATATATATATATATATATATAGAATTTCGAATTAAAAAAATGAGGTAAGAACGAAATCATTTCGCTGCAAATATACAATGAAATTGTAACGTTTTTGCAACAAAATAGTGACAAGGAAATGATCGCTTACAACTTTGCAACTAAATTGCTAAGTTTTTTCATTGCAATTTAACAAAGAAATTTGTAATGACAATGTATATGCCAAAATAGTATAGGAATAATATATATGCGATAAATGAAGAAAATATTTTAAGGGAATTATTTTTTCCTTTTACAACCAAATCTTTCATTACAAATTTCACGTGGCAAAACTTTGCAAACTTGTTAACCGTCGTGGAAATAAGCTCCCTACAAAAAGATATCGTATTGATGACCGTTATTAATTATGGTTAATTATAATGAATATCATATCATATTTTTTATTTAAACGCCTCGCATTTCGATAAAGGAATCTGAATATCCCTTCATCTTGTCAATGGTCGGGTGTGATTAAACTTTTAAAAGTATATGATTTTATTTGACAATGCATTATATCTTAGATAATATCTTGTATTGATTTATTAGATTCTCCCTTTTTGGACAAAGAGGAAAAAAGTCGATCGTCTTTCAATATCGTATTGCTGACTCTAAATTCGGAAATAAAAGAAGAATGGATGTTTAAAAAAAAAGGAAAAACAATAAAAACTCAAAATCATGTAATTTCAAATTTAATATATATTGATTTAGTATTAAATTTAAAAAAAAAAGGTTGAAACTTTGCTAATATTAACAGTCACCGAAGCCCAAGGGTTTTAGCTTTTTTAAAAAATTCAAAATAAAATAGATTACTTAAATTGAAACAATAGGTTATAATAAAACGTATGCGTGCTTACTTCTAAACATATTTTAAACCGACCACGTTGAATTTAAATAAAAGATTTAAAAAAAAGGGAGAGAAAGGAGCGGAGCGTACTTAGTAAAAGACGTACGCACGTTTTCAAAGTAGACAGTCCATCAAAAGTACATTTTATTTATATTTTATATCGTGAATAATTCATCTAAATCTAACTTCTAAACATTAGGCGGGATTTGGATCGGTCATTAGAGATTTTAGATTATTTGAATTCGAATCCAGATATTTTAATTTCGACCCTTCCGAATTTAATGCTATGTTCATAACATTATTGTATATTAATTAATACCCAAATAACAATTTTTATCAGTATCTACTATCTACTATATATATATACTTTCACACCACCAAACCACCACGTCTCTGGACATAAGACGATAAATATTGTTTATCAGTATCTACTATATATATATATATGATAAAAATCGTTACATTATCTGATATTAAAAATTAGGAAAACAAATATTTATTCCAACTATAGATCAATTCTCATAATTTTATAAAATAAATTTCAGCCTTTATTATTTTCTATAGATAAGAAATTCTATGGTGCATATTTTACAGCTATTTTGTATATATACTTTTTTTTGTTAATCTAACATTAATAAAAAAAGGTAACTTCCATATTTATACATAAATTAACATCCCATTATATAGATATTTAATTTATTGATCCATACCCTTTGTTATTGTTGGCCATTTTTTTATACATATAAAATAATTGAAAACTATTTCTACAACACGACGCCGTTTAACGTACGCCGAGCACGTGGCCTAGAAAATCCCATGCATCATCATGCATGCATGCTCAGGTGAGCAAATCCGTAGACGCGGGCCTAATCAAATAATTAACGAACATAATCAACTCATAATCTTCATTAATTCATATTAAATTAATTCCTAATCTTTATTTTAGATTAGATTATCGACGTTATTTAAAGTGGAGTAGGTTTTTGTGGGTAGAGTCCCCCTAGCTACACTTGTATTATATTTAATTAATATATCAGCCATTTGTATTATACAAATGATTACAAAATTTTATTTAAGTAACCGTTATAGATTGGTGCGCTCGGATAATGCCAGGATTACATGTACAATGATTATACAAACTACACATTATCTTTTCTATTTTTAATGTTTTAATTAGTGTGATCATTGATATAATTAAATTTTGTAATTATAAATAGGATGATGATTTATTATAATGACCGATCGGGTTGATCATGATTTGTCCACAATATGTTTAGTTATTGGTTATCATTCGATAAAAATGGATCGAAAATAAATTTAAGCTAATAAAATATAATTATATTAAAAAATTGTTGATTATATATATATATTTTAAATCCATATTAATCAAATTGAAACCGAATATGAAATAATAAGAAACGAATGAAATGATTTTTTTAAATTTTATAAAAATGTGATATAAATAGAATACTGATAAAATTCCAACTAAACTGAATTTTGAACAAAAAAACGGTCAGATATAATTTTCATACAAACCCAAAGTTAACAACCAAAACATAAATGGAATCTAAAATTTCCAACAAATATATTACTCCTACTACGGATTGGATTACAAGTTCGGTAGCACATCCTTAATGAGAGATTCGTCTACTTTTTCAAAAATATAAAAATTAAATATTACTTTGTATTAAGATTAATTTGATTTTACAAATTCGGCTGATTTCTCTATATATTATTTCGTTTAGAAGTAATTTGTACAAACAAATTTAGTGTCGGAGATAGAGTAGATCCATATTTATATGAAATACAACTCCAATAAAAAATATTAATACATTTTGAAATGAAATAATCAAAATTCGGATGGCCATAAAAAACGGAAAAAAAGTGTCAAATTGTAATTTATTTCAAAATTTCGAAATTTATTACTACCGCATGAAATTAAAGATCGGACAATGCAATAACTAATATAAACCCACATATCTTTAAATTTAATTTAAATGAACCAGCTGTAAAGCGACCAGCTTTTCCTCTCATTTATGGTGCGAACCTTTTTGTCCTGCCCAAGGGCAATATAATAATAAATAAATACATTATATAATGAATAATTAAATTGATTTAATATATACAATTTCAAGTAGAATAACGAGAGCATCAATATGTTTGTTGTTTGTACATTGTATACGTAAACACAGTAGCATATACGGACAATATGTCAGTCGGAACCCAGACGAATTATACGATGCATATATAGATATATGTATGTATTATATAGGACAAATCAGTCGTTGGATTAGTAGTTAACAAACAGTGGCATTAATTATTATTAGAAGCCAAATCATGGCATTTTTTTTATATTAATTCACTTAATTATTTTTATATGAAATTCGGAGCTTTATTCCGTATTTTGGTTCACGACAAATTGGGATCAAAATTAATTATAAAATAAAAACCAATTTATATTCAAATGATTATATATAAAATAATTAAATAAACTTAAAACAATTTACAAAGCCTTCATACCACATTCGGATGGCATGGCAAGCCAGTCATTTTATTTTATGGCAATTAATAATCAATTAAGGAATTCATTTGTTTGTTTGACAACAAAAAATTTTCATACAAATAAATTTGGAAGAATTTAAGCTTAACTTTATATATTACGATTTGTTAATCCTATGTCACACATTAAGATGGACCAGCTTTTGGGGTCTTATCTATTTATTTTTTCAAAGTTTTGGGTTTAATATACACTTAGGTTTAATAATCACACTAGTTTGGTTATTTTTATCATAAAGTAAAATAAAGACAATTGGTATTTGAAAATATAATTATAAATACGTAATTTCGGGAAAGTCGGATTAAATTAATTAGTGTTATTTGAGAGAAATACTGAGTACTTCTCACTCCAGATTCAGATATTTAGATTCACTATTACGTTACGTATCAACCGAATCATAATATCTCTAGACATATCCTCAGTCAATTCAAAATAAATAATTTAATTGGCCCAATAAAATTATTAATTAATTAAATTTAATTTCACTGTATTTATAATGGATAAGTGCAAAAAAAAAAAAAAAAAAACTAATAAACAATGCAGATATGAAAATGATTTCTTCTTTGGAACTAAAAATATGGAAATGATAAAGTGTACTTTAAAGCGTCCTGCATCTGAAGAATCATTTATGTCATTTTTATTCATCGCACAAATCATTGATAGCATTAAATTTACGATATTTTAAAAAAAATATAATTTATGGGTTTTCTAGTTTGTCTAAAAAAATGTTCATAAGAATTTAAGTTCATTACCACTTCCACTCCGCTCGAGCACTTAATCTCGACCATTCTTAAATTTTTTGTCGGGTTAACTTTGGTTCAATTAATGGAAACACCAACCTCTGACCCAAAAAAAAAACTTTGGTTCAATTATAAAATTTTTTTTTCAATTTTCCATCTTTTTTGTTTGTTTGTTTTTTATGCTTAGAGGTTGAAGTTGGTATTTCAGGTATTTGTTTGAATTTTTTAGATTTGATTTCAATTAAAAATCTATTTGGATTTAATTTTTATTGATCAAAGTATTTATTCTAAAATAGTCAAATTTTACATTTATTTTATATTTAGCTTTAATTCATTTTTAAAAATATATTAATTCAATTTATATGCGATTACAATTAGATGTTATTCTATTTGATTGCATGCAAGTAGCCAAATCCAAGCATTGACTCTTTCTTCCGTGTCTTTTTCTCTGTCTATAACTGTTGCTGATATTGTTCATGCCTACTCTCTCTCTCTCTCTCTCTCTCTCTCTCTCTCTCTTGCTTCAAAAGTCATTTCCATGTCTTCGTCTCAAACACAGGACAAAAGGCTTGGTTTACTGTATCTCCCATGGTGCTGAATTTCACGAACAGATTTGACAGCTAAACAATCTCCCTCGTCAATGGCACAGAAACACTTGCGTGAGCTTCTTCTGGAAGACCAAGAGCCGTTTCAGCTCCACCACTACATCTCCGACCGGCGTTGCCAGATCGGAAGGCCTTGTCTGAAAACCGATTTGCAGGTCGATACGCGAAAACCCATCTCTAGAAACCCTAGATTCCCTTCGAATCTCTGCGAAACCTCGTGTTTTTTCTCCTGTCGTTCATCTCCAGACCCGAGAAAATCCCCTCTGTTCGAGCTCAGATCGCCGGGAAAACTCCAGAACCGCGTTTTCCTCCAAGTACCGACCAGAACGGCGGCCATTCTCCTCGAAGCCGCGGCGAGGATTCAGAGACAGTCTTCGAAGAATTTGAAATCGAAGGCCCGAAACAGAGGAAACGGGTTCGGGTTATTCGGATCCGTTTTCAAGCGGTTGACGAACCGGAACCCGACGCGGAACACTGAAACGCAGTTTTCTCAGGTAAAACTGCGTTTGCAGAACGCGGTTGGGGACAAGAGCTCGTGCTCCAGGCGCACAAACGCGGTTTTCTCAGAACGCGGCGGGTCGGACAGCGATTCTCAACCGTCGAGCAGCCGCAGCAGCAGAGGCGGAGAGAGTTTCAAGGTTTTCGATGGGTTCAGATACGGAAACGCAGACGCTGGAGATTTCAGCGGTTGCGTTAGCCCGTTCCGTTTTGTTCTCCAAACAAGCCCTTCATCCTCCGGCGACCAAACGCCCCATTTCACGTCTCCGGCAGCGTCGCCAAGTCGCCGCAGTACAAAGGTTTGTTTAAATTCTTTCCCTTTTTAAATCATTTTTTTATTATATTATTCAAACCTATCATTGCTGCGTTATCTCGAGGATTAAGCCCAAAAACGATCACTAATCCAACATTTAACAAAAAAAAATTAATAAATTAAAAAAAAACATTCTATGAAAAGAGCAGAAACATCTCTGAGAAGAACAGAGGGAGACACATGGGGGGCTAAAGGGTTCTGAAGATGTGACTGAATCATAAATGTTATATAATATAGAATTTTTAATCTTGATTAATCTTTGAAAGATTCGTTGCATATTTTCATTAGTAGATATTTAATCTCCGATTAATTCAATCATCTGAAAAAATAATCCAGATGATTTTTTTTTTTCCAAAAACATGAAAAAAAACAGAGGGTTAAGAAAATTTTGGATTTTAGCTAATAATGAACCTCAATTATAAAGTTAATTAGTTAAATGATGAGAGTTTGTGACAGGACGAAGACAGCGACGAGACGGAGAGATTGGAGACACAGAGAGAACAAGAAGAAGAAGAAGACAAAGAACAATGTAGTCCTGTCTCTGTTCTTGACCCTTCTCTCGAAGAAGAGGAGGAGGAGGAGGAGGAGGAAGAAGACGATCTTCAATGCAGCTTAGAAGTAGTACAGAGTATGGATTCCTAACCCTAGACCCGCAAATTGCATGCATGAGTTTACGATTATATATTATATGTTTATACCGTTATATATGTGTAAATATATTATCATATTCTTATAAGATGCGAACTCTTATGTGTGTGTGTGTGTATGTTCTAAAACGTGCCCTTAACGTGTGTATTTGAGGGATTGTGTGTTTGTGAATATATATATATATATATATATATATATATGCTTTAGGATCTTTACCCCATGGATATATATATATATATATATATATATAACCTCCTGCAGATTTCTGATAACGGTGAAAAAGTTTGATGGAAAATGCAACGAAACGTGGAAACGTTTACCCGTTTTCATGGATATGATTCTTGGACATGATTGAGATTGTGACATCTCTCGTCTTCGAATGGATTTTAGAAGATCGATCGTTAAGTGTTAGTGCTCATAACGCTAACGGTTCATTTTTTCGTCGGTCAGGGGCACAACGGAGATTACTCCAAAAGCTCCGTAGATTCGAGCGACTGGCGAGACTGGATCCAATGGAGCTCGAAAGGAACCCCTCGGACGAAACCCTAACGCTATACGACTCGGAGGAAGATCTAGACGAAGAAGATCTCGGGGACGGGAGCGAGAACGAGAGGGAAATCGGGCGGCGGGAAACGGAACGGAGAGTGTTGAAGATGTGGAAATACAAAGGGCGGGGCATAGACGGAATCGTGGAGAGAGAATTGGGAGAAGAGGACGGAGAATGGACGAGGCGACGACGAGAGGAGGAGGTTCAAGAAGCTGCTTCACGTCTCGAGCTTTCTATTTTCTCCTCCTTGGTCGACGAATTCTCACTTGAGCTTGTTTCTTGTCCATATATCAATTAAACGTTACAAAACAAAATTAAAACTGACGGTCTATTATTAGATAGAGAATTTTGAGTCATCGAGATAAAGGATTTATCGTATGTAGGTGTGGTTTGAATCATTAAAACAAATTTATAAAATATTTTTCAGATATCTATATTCAAAATTTTGATCCACTAATTGGTGGTCCAATGTTAAGAGATTGATAAAGTTTCTTCGAGATCATGACAATTAATTGTATAACTAAAAACTGACTTCGAAATCAGAAAAATTAAATTAAAAGAATATCTAGTGAATCTCTCGATTATAAAAAAAATATGTTTATATTTTTTTAGTGATATTTAATATGATATTAATAAAAAAAAATGTTAGTTGTCGGTGTTCTATTATGTATTATGATACAGGTAGTACTAAACTAATTTGGTATGCACTATGCACAAATCATATTAATTACATTTATATCATTATTCCCTTTAATCATTTATACGGATTTTCATTATCCGACATTCGGATGTAAAGCCCATGGGCCAACAATCTGTCTCAAACTGAAATAGTTTGGTTCACATATTATTTTTATATAAATATATATATATATTCCTCCTTTTTTTTTAATGAAATTTATTTTGGTGTATTTGTTTATTAGCTTTTCATCTTATTGGTAAGAACAGTGCGCCTATTTATATGTTGCTTTCTTATTTTTTTTCACTTAAAATTAAATATTACTTATAAAACATGTCTTTACATTGTGAGATATTGTTTGGATATGTGTGTACATATTAAAACAATATCCTAAAAATCATTACATATAGTATAAAAATAACAAGAAAAGTCTTCTCCTTGACGAGTTAATGTTTATATATAGGAACCTAAATATTTTTTTTTATTCGAAAAAATTCTTTAGGCGTAATCGTAGAGTTAGAACAAAGGAACCTCCAATGAAAATTGCAAACTAAGCATAATTAAGGACCACATGAAATAGGTGATTAGACCTCTAATTGTGGTGCTTAGAAGCCACTGGCTTCCCCTAATCACTTTATAAAAAGCGTAATTATCGCCTCCCTTGACTGATCCCAACTATACACTAAATCAGATACACACACATAAATTTTATGTATTATTTTTACTTCCCAAATTGGGAAGGTTCAAAGATTGTTACAATCATATATGATAAATATTATATAGATATGACTGTTAAATTAATATTATATATATATATATTCATTGAAAATAATATAACATTTCATAGGTGTAATTAATATGCTATGCTTTGTGTGTTTGTGTAAAACTGCAAGTACAAGGCAATCATTACATGCTCTTATTTATGGCAAAATTAATTAAAAGCTCGTGCAATTTTACTTGCAAAATTATACAATTTCATTAATTATGTACACAAACTTTTACTCTGGCCCGTCTTACATATATTTATAATATATATTTATAAAGAAGCAAATTATACATAATGGTAGCTTAATTCAATTTTATGTTTTGTGAAAAATAAAATCAACAAACATATGATTCATATTAGACTTTTGAATATACGTACCAACTTTTTTTTTTCTTTGCTTCACCAAACCCTTTTTTCCCTTTTCATTTCTTCAACTCTCTGCATCCTCTCTCTCACACAATATATATATATATATATATATATATATATATATATTATATACACATACGCACACACTTGCTATTTTTTGTTATTTCCCGTTTTCTAGGGTTCGTTTCATGCATGCGAGTGTGATATTTAATTCCTCTAATACATTATGGATGGATCATAAAAAGCATCCACACATTATATATACATGGTATGTATGTATATTCTTAAGATTATATCACGTTGGATTCTGGATCTATATACCTTACACATTATCTATTTTATCCATTTTACAAGGTATTTCCGCGACCTTCTTTTTCCCCTATCTATATATACCATTTTAATTTCGTAATTTCATTTGATCAAGACTTGAAAAATAAGGGGGGAAAAACAGCATCATCATTGGCGTTTGTTCGACCTATCTTTTATTTTATTTTTCGTCCTTATAACCATACGTAACCCATGTGCTCAGTTTGCTTCACAAGTTCATAAACGATCATACATTTATTTATATATATATAATCTTAAAAAGTTACATAGAATTAGGACCTTATTCAATTTACAAGACCAAAGACCGTAAAGATTTAAATGATTAGTCCAACCAGACCGATATATATGTATATATATATGCGACCTGCATAAAATACGGTCTTCATATAGGACTAACCGTGCATGCACATAACTAGGCACCATCTTATTATACAACACAATCACACCCACATGCACATATAGCTTCACAATTACACACACACATATATATATGTATATATATATATAAAGGCGGCTTGTTAATGATCATGGAAACTTCCACAAGTGATCATCAGCTCCAAGGAATCCATCTTCACCACCGGAGGCACCACCGTGAGCGTGAAGGTGAGGCGGGCTAAGAAGCATTCCTTCAGCCATATGCACAAGCACATTAGGCATGTCGAAGATCAAATCCTCGTCCATGAATCCACTATTCAAAACGCTATTACTATGATAGTGATGATAATCACCATTAATCATCATCATTGATGCGTTATCCTCTTGATGATGATGATGATGGTGATGATGATGCACTCGGGTATTATTATTACTCGTTTCTCGGTTCTTCATCGCGTCATTCGCCGCTCCTAGAGCGGCAGCAGCTGAAGCAGCAGCGGCCTGGATGTCTCCTGGAGATGCTGAGACAGGGACAGGCAAAGAAGCCGCCATATCGGGGAAGTTGAGCTCTGCGTCCCGGCCCTTTAGGGCAAGAGCTGCGACATCGTAGGCTATGGCTGCCATTTCGGGTGTCGAAAATGTTCCCAGCCAAATCCGGTTAGGTTTTTTCGGCTCACGAATCTCCGACACCCACTTGCCACTGTTCCTTCTCTTCCTCACTCCCCGGTACATCGGATGTCGCGCCATCCTCGACGACCCACTTGATTCGCCATCGTTAGTGAGGTTTCTATGCATGGTTTAGGGTGTTTAATGATGATTACGATTAGGGTTTTCGGAAGAGATTGTGGGTTTCGAGGAAGGAGAGGAAGAGACGCCATTTATGGAGAGTTCACGTGAAGAACACTTAGTCTATTGAAGAGATGAAAGTGCAAACCAGTTATGGATGAATGAATCGTTGCAAGGGATTTGATCACTTGGAGAAGATGAAAGCTGTAAAGATACCTTTTCCCTTGCGAATATGTGTTGGATATCGTGTTTTGTGTGGATATATTTGATATATATATTAATTTATTTATACAGATTTTCTCCAAGTATGTATATATATATATATATATATATATATCTATATATCTTAGTGGTCTTCCTCACCACCACAGGTTCATGAATATATGTTTTTCATGATTTTGACATCACTATATGTACTGTTTTTATTTGAAAAAAAAACATTTTTTTACTAATGTGTTATTTCTTCCTTCTTATTTGGCCTAAGTATTGAATGATAAATGTTAGGACAAGAAGAACAAATACGCATCTTGTTCAAACCGATATTTAGACAGTATGCTTTAAACTCACATTCTATGTAATATTCCGTAAGCCAAAAATTATTAGTGTGTTCATCTAACAAATACACCATTCTTGCATAAAACGTTTTTTCCCTGTATGTATATATGTATGTATGTATGTATGTATGTATGTATGTATGTATGTATGTATGTATGTATGTATGTATGTATGTATGTATGTATGTATGTATGTATGTATGTATGTATGTATGTATGTATGTATGTATGTATGTATGTATGTATGTATGTATGTATGTATGTATGTATGTATGTATGTATGGATGGAGAAAATAACTTGTTTTTGAACCCTAAATAAGAGATACCTTCCATGCAGTTATATACGTATATATACATGATACCCACTACTAGATTTCATCTGAGTGACTTGTAAATATCGATTCCCACTGGATTCCATCCCTAGATATGTCACTAGCAACTTGCAACTAATGAACAATATATATACATTTCAAATTCTTGACTCACTATCTTCTCCGATTTGATAGCCAAATCTCTCTCTACAAAATACTCGGTTTGTGCTATATGATATCATATATATATATATATATATATGTGCGTGTATATGTATATGTTCTTTTACCGACAGTATATATAATTCACAAGGGAAATGAGTAAAATGTTGACGTGGCGAGGGGACAAAGAACATGCAATACGATATTTATTATTCAATGTGAATGTTAAAAGTGTGTGTGATGTTGTATGAGGAGGTGTGTTTTGTCACTCCACTAAGCACACACACATTATTATTATTATTATTATTATTATTATTATTATTATTATTATTATTATTATTATTATTATTATTATTATTATTATTATTATTATTATTATTATTATTATTATTATTATTATTATTATTATTATTATTATTATTATTATTATTATTATTATTATTATTACGACAACAAATTCATTTAAACTTGTCAAATCGATTACGGTAGAACATCTCTATCACATTAATTATGCAATTACCATGGAATATTTTTTGGTGTTTGTTATCTTTAAAAGAGCTTGCTGAATTTCCCGCAAACCTTTTTTTTCTTAATTTCTTTCGATTTTTTCCATTATACATAGTTTCATTTTTTCCTCTAGTTTCATCATCATACGGCCAAGAGGGATGTAATAAATCTATAATTAAAAAAAATTCAAATAAAATATTAGATATTTGGATAGAATATTATTAAGGATTTTTAATTATTTAAGATTTAGAGTGATAATATATAAAAAAAATGATAAGATAACTACTATAATATAAACTCTATATGCTAAGGTAAGTACGTACAATGTAAACTTTTATTCGTATTAGGAACTTCAAATCCTTCAATTAAGTCTGAATGATTAGTCTAATTTAGATTTATAAAATATATACGGAAATATTTCGACTTCACAATTTCTATAAAATTCACGAAGACATGAAGAAATTAATATAATCTTGAATGTCGGATTATTATATATATATATA